TTAGTTTTCTGCTTTCCTTTCTTCATAAATAACTAAAAGAAGGAGGAGAAAGAACAGTAGCCCATGACCATCAGCTGTTTGGGGTTGACAGAATGAATTGTAGAGAAATCAGAACACAGAGGAAGAAGATTTCCAGGTAGCTGCTTTCAAGAAAACAGTTTCATTGCCTTCTGATAATATTTTGAGGTGCAAGTGATAAGGAACATCATCACTACGATAGCTTACATGTACTGAACCAGGTAATGCATACATGCTTTTCATCCACTCATTTAATCCTCACAACAACCTTACAAAGCGCAGTTATTGTTCCCATTTTATACTTTCAAGAAATTGGGATTTAGAGGCTTTAAGTAACATTAAGTAACCTGGTCACATATGATAAGTAGATGGATGAACAAGTTTTATTTGAACACAGCCATGCTCATTTATATATTGCCTCTGTCAGCTTTTTAGTTGCAAAGATAAGTGATTTCAATAGAGATCATATTGCCCTCATTACCTAAAATATTTCCTATTTGACCTTTTATAAAAAGTTTTCAGGTGCCTACTGTAAGCCATGTTTTGATTGATAATACTAAGCTTTTCCACTGTCTCTTCTCTTGATTGAGTATTTGATCAATTTCCGACTGAAGAGATTGGTAGAGTTCTTTCATTTCTTTATCAGTAAATTAGCGGTTCATGCGTAATTCGAGTAATATTAGTCAACAGTTATGTTAACTAGAAAAAGCCCCACGCAGTACTGGGTTACAAGTTGGGTTGCTAACCACAAGGTTAGCAGTTTGAAACCACTTGCCATTCCACAGAAGAAAGATAAGGTTCCCGAAACCAATCTCACTGCAATCAATGCTGACCCTGGGTTTCCGAGGCTGTAATTGTTTATGGGAGTAGAAGCCCAGTTTTTCTCCTGTGGAGCTGCTGGTGGTTTGGAACTGCCTACCATGCAGATCGCAGCCCGACACATACCCACTTCACTACCAGGGCTCCTAAAAAAGTTGTAGGCTCCCATTATAACGATTTCTAGCTTCAGACGCCCAAATGGGCAGTCAGTTCTTTAGGGTTCCTATGAGTTATAGTTGACTCCATGGCAGTGGGATTTATTAAGTGGATTTTCTTGTAAACAGATAGATATTATCCTTTTATAGACAATATTGTACTTCAAGAAAGATCTTGAAATGTTCTTTTTGACAGTGCATGTGATGCCATTTCTGTTGAATTTGTCATTCCCTGGATAGTAAACCAAATGAGTGCCCAACTCAGAAGGACAATGCCAATGTATTTCAGTTCATTAATTAATTTAGGTCTTTATGCATTCCATTTCATTTTTTAATGGCTTCAAATTTTCCTAGATTCACACTTAATACATTCCTTGTTCTAATTATTAGTGGATGTTTGCAATTGCTTCTTAATTTATTTTAAGTTGTGCCCCATCAGCAAATGAAGGCTCCCAAAAATGTTATCTACATAATTAATATTTATTCTCCTTTGAGGAGGAAACTCTTCCCCAGTCTCATTTTGAGTGCCTTCCAAATTGAGTGGCCCATCTTTGGGCACTGTATCTGATAGTGTTCCTCTGCCATTTGTAAGGTTATGAGTGTCCGTTACATCAGCCATGGACAGTCTGTTCCCTCTTTATAGTGTGTTCTTAGTCATGAAGCTTCTCTGAAAGACGTTCACCAGGGGTGACCCTGCTGGCATTTGAAATCCCAGTGGCATAGCTTCCCGCCTCAGCAAGATGTAAGCTACCACAGTACAGCACACTGACTGACTCAACGAGTTAGTATTTTTTTAAACCATGTAAAATATCTCAATAATCTTATATTGATTACATGCTGAAGTATTACTAGTTTAGGTATAATGAATGAAATCTA